GCATGATCAAAACCGACTCTGCAAGTGTCAATCAATGCAAGTCACTAGCAAACAGGATATAGAGTTCAAGAAAAAAAGAATGATGCTTTGTATGACAAGAGGCGGATTTCACTTCTTCTCACCTTTCACAACAGACTTCCCGATACCAAGTTTGAGAAGACTTGAACTCAACAGTAAACTCCACAAAAGAGCGAAAGGTGATTTATCCTGTTAATCCAGAAGTTGTATACCCTGAGTTGCTGTCCCAAATAACTCTAACCACTAACAGCATCCATCTTCAGTCCCAAAAAACACTCATTGTAAAGAAGTAGCAGAGAGATAATTAATTACCCACCAGGACAAGGAAGAGATATAATCCATTTGCAGAGAAACCGAAAGCAAAAAGGCAAACTAATAAACCCTTCAGATTGCTTTGCCGAACTATTACATGGTGCACATCAATTGCTGCCGACGGCCACTTTCGATCTTTTATGTAAGTAAATCTTGCGGTAGCAATAAATGATTCATTCATTTCTTGCTATAGATTCCTATATCTCATGGTCCGCTACACTAACTTGACTGCATTACGTAAAACCAACAAATCCAGTTAACAAAGGCAGAAGGATTTCATTTCATGTAGAGTCCTTACCTCTAAACATCACACTCAATCAACAAGCGTAGTGAAGCGAACTTCGAGTCTACATCAAAGTATGTAGTGATCCTGGCTTGGAAGCTCAGCCCAGTGATCAAATGCACAAGTCATACGAGCTTGAGTGAAGTAGTCTACCTAAGTGAAGTATCACAATGAATAACCTCTTCTTTTGAAAATTTGACTATATTCAATTCCTTACTCATTCCAGCAACTGGGCTAAAGCCAGAAGTATCCGTGAACTTAGCTAAGAAATCAAGATAATTGATTGAAATCGAAATTGGCAAGGTACCCACTAGACACTAGTTCTGATCGGTAATCACAATTGCAAACTTTGCCTGCGATTCAGGGAGGGGTTGTGAGGGATAGAAGAAATGACCTCACTACACCATTGGGCCGTTGAGTAGTGCCGAGAGAGCGAGGGGTTGAAGGCACCGGTGATTGAAGTGAGATCGGAAGCTGAGAGGAGAACAGGAGGGAGATCGGAAGAGAGAAAGTTGCAGGCGAATCCCGGGACTTGGATGTAGCAGCCTATGTAGAACCGAAGACGACCTGAGGCAGCTCTGGTCAGTCGGAGACGGCGGAAGCCGAGAAGACAATCGGAAAGGAGAAGCGCGGTCGCCGGACTTCTCGTTGATTCCAGAGAGGAGGCTTTCGTCGGCAAAACATGTTAAGCGGGTAGAGCCAATCCAACCCATCTAACCCATATATATTATGGGGATTTCTGTAAAATGGATTAGGAACCCATAACCCATGAGGGAGCGTTTAGCTTGACTAACCTCACGTAGGATTGACAACAAAACGCGAACCCACGGATACTTTATTCGACCCAATCCAGTTAACGAGGGTATTTTGGCCTAGGTTCGCGTTTAAATCTATTCACTATTCATTGAGTTGGGTTGGGTTTAGGTTTAGGTAAACCCATCACATGGGTACCCGCCCACACCATATAAATAATTTTCCCGGTATATTTAATATTCTAAACAACTAATCTTCTTTATGTTTGTGGAGACATGTCTAATTTTTTTCTTTCTATTTGTGTAGAATTAAGTTGATATTATCGAGTGGAGAGTGAAGAAGCTTAATTGACAAGGAGGAGGAAGCTTTCAATTAATCATGTTATTTATGGATAATTTGTGATTTGCTTCAATTTTCTTGAGTTTTCTAGATTGGTGTTGAAAAATTTGTATGGTTAATTCAATAATTTGTGATTTACTTGAATTTTCTAGAATGGTGTTTTATATATGGATAATTTGTATTGACATATTGATATTTGACTTTTATTTTGATAAGAACTTGTTATTGTAAATTTTTAACGAAAAAAACCCATGAGTACCAATGAACCCGCGGTCCGCGGATACTCAATGGGTTGGGTTGGGTTTGAGTTTTTCAAACCCTGTGGGTTTTACCCCAGGTAAACCCATGGGTTTGGGTTTGGCAAAACCCGACCCATTGCCATCTCTACCCCATGGAGGGTCTGATTTTCGACACCCATTCTCCTTACCGTCCATTATCACTAGTGTTAATCTAATGGTAGGAACGTAACAGTTGATAATTGATAATTAATGATATAATCAATTATCTCAGCATACATTGCAAAGGGAAAGTAGCGGTTCCCATGCATACTTTCAAATTAATTCCTCCTTCCCTTTTTATCTCACCGTTTTGTCTTCTACTCTCTCCTTATCAATAAACCAAAAACACTCCCCCATCTTGTCTACCATAACACACCCCCGTTGTAACCCATCCATGCTGCAACATCTCTCACCCTTCCCGTCGGACGACAAAATCGTCCCCCACCGTAACCCATCCCCGGTGTAGCATCTACTCATTCTCCCCGTCGTCATCCCCCACTGTAACCCCTCACAAACCCCACATTCCGCCTGTTTGCTCTTATCCACGGCTGCGTTTGATCGTTTCCTGTCAGCTACTGTCTTTCCGCGAAAGAGTTTTGATCAACCGTAAGTGGCGGCGACAGGATTTGTCTAAGGTGATGGGTTTCCGCTTGAACGACCATAATTCAGATATTGATCATAAAAGTATCACTACAGTGCTAGTTGTGTTTGAAATTTCTAGCTTGGTAGATCTATCACTGGAGTGGTATAAAATATTTGAATGTGTATGCTTAAAGTACCACGACAGTGGTAGTTGTGTTTGTAATTTTTATCTTGGTAGATCTATTGCTGGAGTGGTATAAAAAAATTTCATTGTGGCTGATTGAAGTACTTACTATAGTGATATTTCTGTTTGAATTCGCTTTCAGGGTAAAGCTATCACTGGATTGATATATCTGTTGTGATAGTTTTCTTGCTGATCTCATCTATCACTGATTTGATAGTCTCCTTCCTTCAGTGCTGGTACCAGCAAAAAAGGCGCTGTGAGAGTCGCGAAAAGGGAGAACAAGATAGAGGGAAGGGCTATACTGAAGAAGCTGAGTTTGGATGTTGTGTTTGAGCTGGAAATGAAGAGGTTTGACCTGGTCGGTGAATATAGAGTTTGGTTGCTTGTTAGACATAAACTTCGGGAATTGTTCGAAAAGTCACGATAAATTTCCCGTTGTTTCCTTGCACATTAGGCCCGCACCAAAAATGCACATCTCCTTGTGATTATTGAAGCAAAGAAATAAACCTACAACAATGAACATGTATCACAATTGAAAATGTATCACAGCATTGATAGTTGTACGGATGAAAATGTAACTACCACAACAATGAAAATGTATCACTGCATTCGTTTGAAAAAAAATGTATCACTGCATTGATAGTTGTACTAATGAACCGGTAATTTGCATAACATATCACTAACGTTTCATTATTGATTAACATACCTAACTAATGGTCTGCACCCATTGTTGGCCCAGCAACATCATTTATTTTTGCGAAAAAAGCATATTCAGCAGTTACTTCTCGATTCGAGAGGAAAAATCGCTGTGAGGCTACATCATGTAACTCATGGTCGTGGACGTCCGTCCATAAGTAAATTCTGTAATTTTCGGTGTTGCGCTCATAGCTGCACCTTGCAATTGTTTTGCAACCAAAACGAGTCTCACCCCTATCCCTTTCATTATCATTGTCATAATCGACGACATCTTCTTTATTTTTTGGATCCAGTATGCTACCGGGTTTCTAGTCTCCTTTGCTGCACCTACCTCCAAAGTAGAATACAAATCGATGTTTGAAGTATGATCTTTTCTTGTAAATTGCACCAGTCTTTCTAACTGAGAAGCCTCTTCCATGAGCAAAATTCTTGTAGAACCTAATAAATTCATCCTCGTCCTCGAAACGCAAGTGCTTCCATGTCGACTCGTCTTCTGGGACCACGGTGGCAACCACACCTGTGTTTAAAAAAAAGGGTTAATTACATTGTTGGTCACTGAGATTACAAAAAACGTTCAATTTTGGTCACTCAAAATATTTAAATCCATTGGTGGTACTTCAGTTTACTGAAACCGTTCACGTTTGCTCACTCTCCGTCCAACTCCGTTAACTTTTGCTTACGTGGCGGTCAACTTTTAAAGTTGACCGCTAAGTGAGTGATGTGACAATTAAAAAATTAATAAAATAATAAAAATTAAACTTTTATAATTTCCACCTCATTTCTAACTATTAAAAAGATAAAAACAAAATTATAAATTATTAAAATTGAGAGGAAATTATCAAAGATTAACCCACAAAATTATAAGGGTAAATACAATTTACACCTCCCCTAAATCAGCAGCCGCCGGCCAAAACTCAAACCCCCATCTTATCGCCCTCCCATTACATCGACCCATCCCATCCCACCGTCACCGCATCCTCTCCTCCCACCACCGTCCGTCGTCTCCAATCTTTCGTTTACTTTGGTTTGGGGGTTTTCGGGACCGCTCACGAAAAAATGTTACTCCCTCGCCATTTCCCCTCGCGCCAGCAATCCAGCTCCAGGAATACACTCCTCAATCCTCACAATCGGAATTTCTTGAATTTCTAATAGAAACCGTCATTGCATCAGCTCCCTTCAACAATACCTACTAGGCTATTACAACATTCCACCACTCGCCTTCCTCTCTAGGGTTTCCACTTCCCTCCTCCCGGCCTCCCGCGCCGCCAACAACAAAGACACCAGTTCCTCCGCGGCTCCTCCTCCATCTCGTTCTCTCGCGACCGCAGCCGCTGCTTCTCGCCCAGCCCTGAGGCCTTGGTCGCTGCCGCCAATTCCGCTCCCGGACATGGAGTTGCGTACAAGGGAGGTGGAGGAGACCACGAGGAGAAGGAGTTTGAGGGGTTTTGGATAGAATAGTGGGTGGTTGGGGGTTCTGTTCCAAAAGATCAGGTGGAGATCTTGTTGGAATCCACGTTGGAGATTGGGTAAGGGGAGAGACGGACGGACGGACAGACTAATTCAACAAGTGCGCAGGATTCCACGCCCCGCTCAGCTCAAACACCTCGCTTATCACCTCTTGAAAGACCCGACAATACCTCTTCCTAGCGACCATTCTCATCAATATGTTCAGCGAAAGACCCGACAGTCTTGACTTCATCTCCACCTTCCCGAAACCCGACCCGACACCCGAAACCTTGTCGAACAGGCCGCGGACGAGCTGCTTGACCTCATCGTGGCGCAGGCTGAGGGAGGAGTTGAGGCAGGCGGTGGAGAGGAGCTCGACGGCGTTGAGGCGGGCGGTGGAGAAGAGCTCGACGGCGGTCAGGCGACGGAGTTTGCGCCAGAGCGGGCTGTACGGTACCGCCCTCATGGTATAATTTTGTTTTTATCTTAGAAATGAGATGGAAATTATAAAATATTAATTTTTATTATTTTATTAATTTTTAATTGCCACATAACTCACTTAACGATAAACTTTTAAAGTTGACCGCCACGTAAGCAAAAGTTAACGGAGTTGGACGGAGAGTGACCAAACGTGAACAGTTTCAGTAAACTGAAGTACCGCCAATGGATTTAAATATTTTGAGTGACCAAACTTGAACTTTTTTTGTAATCTCAGTGACCGAACATGTAATTAACCCAAAAAAAATGTATCCGAAGAGCTATTTGGATTGTGCAATACATTGTTAAAAATACCATTGCAGTGGTACTAAATATGGAGTGATAGAACTATGTGTTACACGAGCACTTCTACTATGCTATATAGTATTGGTGTTTTAATGTACAACTTGAAGTTGTACCATAACATTAAATGTATAAGTTTAGGTTGTACCATAAAGGAATTTGTATCATTATGTTACGGTACAATTTTACAACTTGAAGTTGTACCATCACATAAGGTACAAGTTTAAGTTGTACCATAAAAGAATTTGTACAAAAAGTATAGGTACAATCTGAAGTTGTACCATAACATTAGAGGTACAATTTCAAGTTGTACCATAAAGGTAAAAACCTATAGCACCAATACTATATAGCATTGTAAAATTCCTCGTGTTACACTATCACTTCAAATAATGGAAATACCACTACAGTGGTACTCATTCATTTTAAAGGTCGAAGGCACATGAGTATAGATGCAGACTGAGATTGTTATGTTGTTCCTCTAAGACTCTAACCGGCTCCACGTTTGCGACATCGTCGACGTTAGGCATATTCTCCACGTAGACCTGATCTTCCAGATCATCAGGATGTTATCAAAGTCATAGCTGAACTGCCCAAGTTTAAGGATATCGTTGTCGTTGCTAGTATACTCTATGTTGCGGTCAAATCCGAGGCAACGTTTGTCGGCTGACTTTTGGACACAGTCACCTCCTCCATCCAACGCGACGATGTAATCATCCATCTTTGCAACTGATGGATCCCGCCGGCCGTGGAGTGATGAAGAAGACTTATTGTCCCCCGACGACAGTGGAATGAAACAGCATGAGGGAGGGGGACATAGAAACCGGGAATATGAGAGCTTAAACGTCACTTTCCCCATCCATATAAATTGCTCCTTCCCCATTCATAATAATTATTATGACAGTTAAGACTTTCCAAATTTATAAGAATACAAAAAATAAAATATAAAATAACTCCCATTAATACTTGCCAAATAATTGAGTGGAAAAGTGACCAATGAAAAAGAGGGTGTCAAAAAGCATACCTCTTTAGGGGTTAGCATAGTATCTGACCCCTATTTCATGGGTTGGGGGTGAAATTGCAGTCATGGTTCACTTCTAACTTCTACCCATTGTACTAACCGCAATTTTCGGGTCAAATTGAGAATTTTATAAGTCCTTTCACCTTGGAGTAGGAGTGTGCCGGACCTTAGGTAACCAGAGCGTGGAGTGGGAGCGAGAGCGTGAGAGCGTCTATTTTGTAAGAATCCAATATTAAGAGCGTAAATAGAGCGAGCGTTCATATTATATATTAAAAATGTTATCATTGGAGTTCAAACTCTGGCCACTTAAATGAAAAAAGAGCATTATAACCAACTAGACTACATTGTGTTTTTTTTTTTTTTGCATAATTATTATTTATCTTATAAATATATATGAGTGGAAACCGAACAAACAAAGATTTACAAAAAATTAGTGGGTAGCAGAGATATAATCTGGGCCCCCACTCCCTTAGCTATAGTAAAACTAAGTCTAGTAAAAATGTACGCGGCCGCCCGAGCCCCTGCATCCTGAGACATGGAGAAATTCTGAATCCTCTTTAGCAAAGCCACGACATCTGTATCCAACTCTCCCAACGAAGAAAAAGAAAATGGCAGGAAATCGTAACTAGCCACCATACACAAGTCTCAGTACTTGGCACACTTTCGCCTGAGCAGCATCAGCAACAACTCGGCCAGGAACAAAACCAGTCATCCCAGTCTGATTCAGAGGTGAAGATCCAGTCAAATCTACACACACATATCGCCCCCCTGTCCCAGGATAAAGCAGCAAATCCGCAGGACGAAGGGGTCCGCCATGTCCATCAACCAAATCGATATAAACCTCCCTACCTGCATAAATCCCAGACCTATAACAGATGTCCAATAAAGTGTCACGAATGAGTTTGTGCCGATGCTTAATGCCCACAGAACCAGCACAGGACACATCATGATCCCCAAAGACATCACCAAGAAAGACACAGGAAAAAGCAGGAAAGGGCTTAGATACCGTAAACAACGGGACACCCAGTTGATAGCTAAGCACACTACGATATGTCCTCCCATTCATAGTCTGGCTCAACCCAGCAATAGGAATAGCACGCAACCAATCAGAAGAGTGTACACTCTACTGAGACTTCCACAAAGCCACCTAACGCGTAGTCAAAGAGAAAACAGAATCTAAAGTAGTAACAACCTTCGCAAAATATATATCTGCCAATTTCTTCATAAGTTTTAGGTCAGCAACTCCACTAGAGTCATGTAAGAGATCAGAACCTGTAAACTCGTTAAAGGTGCGTATGGCGTCATAAAAAGCAGGGCCAAGAGATAGAATACCAGAAGGACTTAGGATTTTAGCTTGCAACTCCGCAGACTGCAAACGAGACGCCAAAAAAGCATAATGCAATACATCTCCAGCAGCATAAACCCCAAGCCCGCCCAAATGAAAGGGAAGGTGGCAAGCCGCCACTGCCAATTACCAAAACCAGGTCCAGAAGCAGTGACAATACGTTATAAACTAGACCGAAGTGTTGTGTCAAAAGATAGTTGAGTCGGGCCAAAAATACAACGGGAGTAAGTACGCAAAGCAAAGTAGAGTTAGAAATACCAGTATAGGCCCGAAGCAAAAGAAACTCACACTGTGGGTCATCAATCCTAGCTACCAAGTCCATCAACTCAATGGTCTTAGTAACTCTCTTCACCACAAGCTCACTGCTAAAATAAGGACAAGAATTGATAGGACCACCCAGAATGATGACAAAGTGTGGAGGCTGAGCGATAGAGGCAGGGAAAACACCTGGAAGCTGACTCCTGGGATCCTCAGTAGGCCAAAAAACCTCTGTCTTACCCACATTTAGGTGAAGGCCAACTCGAGCGCCTTCATCCATAATCAGTCAAACTCGAGTAATATGTTTGGTGATGATGCTTCTATATTTATAGTTTATCTTAAGTTATTTATATTTTATAGAAAGACATTAGTTCTGAAATCGAAACTCAGGTAACATTGATTCAAACATTCATATTAAATTGTATGTGTAGTTTAGTTTAGCTTAGTTTAGTTTAGACAAAATACAGAAGTGTAACCAAACATGAACTTTCGTAACGAGTATAGTCCTTTTTTTTTTATCAAATCTACACATATAATGATGATAAAATTGGAAAATGAGAGTCTCCTTTTAAATTTCGTGGCCTGAGAGTAATTCTACGAACCTCTTTTTTGTCATAGCGCCAAATTTATCTTTATATTATGTATAGATTTGTCATAAAAAATTACTATATATGTCACGAAAACCCATTTTTTGGCTAGACACATGTATTTTATCTAAACTGTACCACACATAGAATTTAATATTTAATGTTTGAATCAATGTTACTTGAGTTCCGATTTCACAATTAATTACTTTCTATAAGATATGATAATTTGGTTTATCTTCTTGAATTGTAAGCATACACATAGCAAAGATTTGAAAAGCAGAGTAATTTTCCATCACGGTTAGCTAGCCTATTAAGTCTTCTAAAAAACAAAGTTTAATACATGATTTATAATTTTTTATAACCTATAAAATGACGAGTTATCTTAAAATTGCAACACAAATTTTAATGCTTGAATATTGCATATCGAATTGCATATTGAATATGCAAAAGAGATGTAGAATTCTTTAAATTATATAAATTTTCAGAACTACTATGAAATAATAATATTTTGTACAAACTATAGTTGATTGATTCTCTAAAATTTTAGTTTGGTTAATTGCTAACATTAAACCTTTTGCTAATCTGACATAATGGACCCGATAATAATGAGACAATATTAAGTTTAATGTGATATTCATCTCGCCATTTTTGGATGGGTTGACCAATTTAAGTGCATTAACATATAAATGAGTTATAATTAACCTCATTATACAATTTTTACTCTTTATAATAATTAATTTAATCTTAATATTTGTTATGTTTGAAATATTTTATGTATAATTTAGAGATATACTTATTATTTGTGGCATTAGTGGTAGTTGGTTCAAATGTAATATTTTATCAGGTAGTCAAAATCAAATATTGGGTGCATTTATGACTGTTTTTTATCTTGGTGTTGCGAATAGGTAAAAACTTAATTATTATAGTGCATATAACTATACACAGGTGCATGGTCGAGTTAGCATGACACAGTTAGAGCATACCATGAAAACAATGTATATGGATCGGCCTATACAAGCATGAATGCTTCATGGGTCGTACCAGACTTAAACTTTAAGAGCTCGTGCACAATTGTGAACACCACACAGCCTATTTTGGTGAACTCATGTTTTATGGAGAAATGCACTATTTGAGAGGAATAAGCGGCCATATGTTCACAAGGTTCAGGTCCTTTGATTCACACTATCGACCGTGAATGGAGAAGAAGCATTTCGAACGCAAAATTGGAGAAGTAATTGGGATGTGTCTAGGTTTCTCTCGATTCCAAGCGGTGGGAAGAAATAGGAAGGGAAAGAGGGAGAGTGGTGAGAAACAAAGCTTAGAGAGAGAGAGAGAGAGAGAGAGAGAGATGGAAGAACAAACGAAAAAAGAAAGAGGATTATCGAGGACCTGTTGGGCAAGTGTAGCCATCACCGTCTCATCCAGCCTAATCCACACCTCTGTTGATATCACCTCGAGGATCTAAGCCCTTGAGAATGAATGATTAACTTAGAGGTGGAAGGGTAATACCTGCTGGCATCTCAAAGCAAACCCATCGTTCGCCGACTGGAGAAGGAGCTCGCCGGCTGGAGCTTCGCCGATTGGAGAAGGAGCTCGCCGGATCGATCTTCTCTCCCTCCGCTAGAGGAAGAAGAGGCGGATTGTAGCAGCTTCATTCGATGGGGAGGTCGAGTTTTGGGGAGACTGGGAGAAGAACGATGGGAGTTGGGTTAGCAAAACGACACCTTTGGTCTAAGTGAACAAAAGGAAAAAAAAAGTGACCAAGGGATTCGAACGATGGGAGTTGGGCAACGGGGGAAATCCGTCCCTCATTTTCCAGCAAACGATCTTTTACTGTTTCGGCCCAGTTGCCTCTTTTATTCCCCATGGTTTTTTCGAACGATAATGAAATTGCAAGTGAACTGACTCGCTCCTACTGTCACTCTAGAAAATGGCCAAGTGTAACCACCTCCTAAAGCGTAGTATAGAGGGCTTGGGTTTTAATGTCAACCCGAGTCCTAGATGTGATGACTACTCCGTGAGTTCTTATTATTTAGCAGTGAAACTTTAGTGAAGGTCAAAACAAGCAAACAAGCTAGGCAAGCAAAAAGGTTGTTTTCAAGTCGAGAGAGGTCGCCCGGATATGGTTCCCCCTAGACTGCAGTTAAGCCGAATTGTTATTTACCAAGTTCAGGTTCAATGAAAGTTATATTGCGGAAGGTTCTTAAACAGTATGAAGTCTCGTCTAAAGATCTCTAGACCCTCTCAATCTGAGTCTCCAGCGGGCGACTAACCTCCACCGGAGTAAACAGATTGAGGCCCTAACAAACCAAACCTCCACTACCGAAGTAAATTCGGTACAGAATAGTGAATTGACTCCTCGACTAAAGTCGTCAATTCACTACCTTTAATCAAGGGTGCTCTATCAACCTAGGCATATATTCTCTTTCTAGGTTAAAGCAGAAACAATAGGAATTTGATCAGGATTCATGCCATTCAACAAATCAAACCTCAATTGAACATAATCATAC